TGTGTCATTAAATAAACATGCCTTTTAATTGATTAATTAATTAATAATTCAATTTCATTAAAAATATAAATTTACATATCTATTTTATTATTTAACTCTGTATTTATTTAATAAAATTTAAAAAGTCTACTGCACGCATCAAAATCAGTAGAGCTATTTCAATAGAAACCCTAACATCTGATTGGCTGCGTCTGTCAGAACAAGTCAAAAAAAGTCTTTCTGTTTTTTATTTATTAACTTTTTTTTTTTAAGTCAATATAATCATTAAATAAAAAGCTAGAAAAAAACTTAAAAAAAATGTGTTATTATTTATGGGTGAGTAATTCCAGACTCTATATCCCTGGTTTGGCTTCTAAAGCTTTAAGAGAGGATGTGAGTTGATCAGTGGGCGGGGCTAAAGTCTCCTTAAAACTGCAGCAGCTTATGACACTAGGCCACAGCAAGCTCTTTCATAAGTTTATTAGATACATTTAAAACCAAACCCCTTCCCTTTCTTTCACTCCACCAATCTCCCACCTTTTCTGATTAGCATCCCAACACAAAACTGCAAAATATACATTAAAATAAACTACATAGGAAGGATGAATTATTGTCTTAGAAAATAGAGGTCTTAGATAAAACTTAAAACTGAGTATGAAAGTTGAAACATTTGTAAAATCACAATCAGCACAAATGAATATAAAATAAATCATGTTTTAGGAATATTTCTCTTTCAGCAATAAGTAGAGGTGTCAAAAGTAATAATGTATATTACTCTAGCATAAGTATAAATCCTACTCTTTAAAAACACTTTTGTAGAAGTTAGAGTATCAACGTAAGCTTTTTGCTCAACTCAAAGTGTAAAAGTACCATTTTTAAATCTAATTCAAGTATAAAAGTAAAAGTTAAGTACAAAAGGAACATTTTTGTAATTAACTTTAGTTGTATTACTACTGTAATGGCAACAGTGTCAAGTTTAACTTTTAACTTTCTTGAATTTATTTGCTGCAGTACCAAGTCCAACCGCAGAAAATTCTATTGTCTGGATGAAACAAATTATTTTGATGCTTTTATTTTTTTTTAATACCAACAGGCCATTTTGAAACCGACCTTAAATGAAACAACACTAAAGTGTCTTTTTTTTAGAATGTAGTAGAAGTAGAAAGTAGAGATAATTGCAAAAAATTTAAGGAGTAGCAATAAAAGGTTGTCTAATAATTACTCCAGTAAAGTATAGATAGCCAGAATTTCTACTTAAGTAAGGTAATAAAATATTTGTACTTTTCTATTTGACACCTCTGATGATGACTGTAACAAATTATGCTTTTATGTCGCCGCAGGCAGAAATCCTAGCAGTTAATGTTCAGCCACAGCTCTCTTTCCTCCCTGTTCTTTTTAATGGTCTTAACAACGTGACCTATAAAAAGAGACGATCACCTTAAGGATTTATGCACTACTGTGCTTGCACAAACACACTGTAGAGTAAATTAAACTTGCGGTATGACCCTGAGGCCAATCTACCTGCAGCATTTAAGATTTGATTAGACCTAATTGCTTTTACACCCCAATTAAGTGTCCTCAGAGAAAATGACGAGGCTCAACAGCACTTTCAGGAAGAGATGAATCAAGAAAGATGCAAAAGGAGCAAAAGGAATCCCCTCTCAGCCAGAACCTTGCCAGTGACAGTGCGTTAGCAAATCCGCTTCCCCTCTAGGTCAAGCTGTTGTCGGAACACCATCGAGTTGATTAAGATGGATGTGTACGGCCGGGGCGAGGCTGAAACTGTCCTGCGGTCGCCCTCCCCACGTCTCCATCCTGACAGCTGTCTATAACACTGCGGCTTCTACCTGTAAATTACGCTAATGCAGACTGACAGGCAGCCTGCCCTCGAGTGGGCCGCGCTGATGACACTGATGACATAACTGCTGGAGCTCCAACACAAGACAAGAGAGAAGGAAGCCTTGTGAGCCCTGCACGCAAACTCCACACTCTCTGGCACGGCCCTTCTTCCACTCGCTCCTGTGAATATAAAGTCTACTTTACCGCCTAATGCTTCCAAGAAATGAACCCCTCTTCAAGGCTGGATCGATAGGCAATGGCAGACATGCAGAATTTTAAAAACCTCCTACACACACCACGGTTTGGATAAGCACCTGCTCAAGGTTGGATGTCTGGAAGGTATGCTTATTTCAACTTTAAAAAGTCTCCATTCCCACCCCCCCAAATTAAAGGAGGAAAAAAACGTCCAACCATTGCCCAGTGGTGACTGGTGTCTCAATAATACATAAAGTGTATTCACACCGAATGCAAATTTCGTACCATTTACATGTTATTTCTATGGAGAGGGTGGCTCAGGAGTGTGGCTACAAGACAGTTGCAATTCGAGTGAGGGGAAAGGCTAGTTTTTGCACAGTGACAATAGAGTACTGCCACACCTAAAGGCCTGGTTAGGCTCCCTGCAGCAGTGTGTCGCATTGAGCTTGATGCAGACATTTTTAATTTATGCCATGTATTGAAGCGTGGTCTGCGCTATACGCTGTGGGTCGAGATACGACCGAGGCGGAGAGGAAGTGGGAGCAATGTTTGTCCGACAACGGAGGGACATGACGGCGAAAAAGAGCGGGGATCCAGGTGGACAAAGGGTCCCAGCGTTCTCGCACACCTCGCTCTTCTAGCTGGTCCAACTTCACTAGCTTTTTTCGCAATTTCAGTCATAAAAACAAAACAAGCCGGCCTCCTGTCTGCGGTATAGCGAAGTGTCTCCGGAGGGCACCAATAAAATTCTTCTAATTGCATCTTTCTCTCCCTGTGAGTTTTTGAGATTGAATTGTCATTGATTGACATTTTAATGTTTCATTTTTCAATGCAAAATCTCACATTCGATATCAATCCAAGCTGCCACTGATTTAACTTCATGACAGAAATGTTAAGATTTTTCAACTTCAGCGGTCACTGTGTTGAATTCACCGCAGGCCGCTGCATAGCACCCCTAGTGTTTTTAGTTGGCTTTGTTTTAACTTCAGTTAGTTAATTTTTCTTAGATTTTATATAGCTTTTTTCTTTGTGTTTTTGGCTGTTTAAGTCCTGTATAAACATTTCAGTCCAGTCAGAAGTTTTGTTAACTAATAGATTCAGTTGACCTTTTTTATCCTTCATTACCTCATCCAGAGCCTTTCAAGACAGCGAATAGCGATGCTGAATACAGAAGGTTCATGTATCTCATACATAGACTTAGACTTCCTTTATTGTCATTGCACAAAAAAACAAAAGGTGAATCTTGAAAATGAAATGTCGATTACTTGGCTACCAGTGTAAGAGTTAAGACCTTATTCCTGCACAATAAATAT